AAATGGGACCTCATCAAGTTAAACATGAAAAACCAAAAGGGTGATTTCCTGAATAGCTTTCAAATCTATGCATGTTTTATCAGCAGCGAAGCAGCGATCTGATGTGCATTCCATCATAGGACATTTTCCAAAGCAGATGAACAAAACAAGTTTATTGGTATGAGACAGAAAAATAAAGCCATTTATATAGGGCTAATATACTGTAGGAAACCTCAGCACTACAGCTGGTCTGGAACTACAAATCCCAAGAGGCATTGCAATGCTCTGACAGCCACAAGCATGAGTCCCAGAAGAATGATAGGATTTGTAGTTTCACCACAGCTGGAGTACTGAGGTTGCCTACCCCTGTACTATAGCATTGTACAGAATATATAAAACCCTTCACATTAGTCTCTGCCCTTAAAGGAGCTTAAAAACCCAACACACACATATTAAAAATAATTTTCATTTATCCACTCACCTTTAAGCAGAAGGTGGGCGATCTTTTATAAAAAGGGATGATAGGGGGGCCTATTATGACAGAAGAGACTGGGGATCAATTTGGTAGGTAAGACTGCCATAATGTGACAATATGGGGTCTATTCACAAAGCTGCCGAAGGATCTGGCCGTAGCTTAGTTATGTTACATCATCATCATCATATTTGAGGTTGAATAAAGACACAGATCCATCAAGTCCAACCTTTGTGTGTATGTGTGTGATTGTGCATTTGTATACAGTATATGTACACGAGTCCCTTTTCCATCCTTGTTTTTAAGTGTTACATAGTTACATAGTATTTGAGGTTGAATAAAGACATTAGTCCATCAAGTCCAACCTATTAGGATCTCATTCTAGGAGTACCTGTACCCCTGTATATTACGGTCCCTTAAGAAATCGTCCAAAAGTTTCTTGAACAATTCCACATTATTTGCTGAAATCACCGCCTGTGGCAGTGAGTTCCAGACCCTAACTGATCTTACTGTGAAGAACCCCCTTCGCCCCTTGTGCTGGAATTTTTTTTCCACCAATTTTAGGTGATGGCCTCTAGTTTTTGTAACGGAGTTAATTTTAAACAGTTTATCGCTAATGTTGCTACCACCATTAAACATTTTGTACATGGAAATCATATCCCCCCTTAATCTCCTCACCTCTAATGTGAACATGTTTAAATTTAGTAGCCTTGTCTCGTAGCTCTGGTCCTCCATACCCCTAATTAGTTTGGTTGCCCTCCGCTGGACTTTTTCCAACTCAAGGACAATGTATACTAGCACATTTTTTTCTAGGCTTCCATTTTAAAGTGTATGTAAATCCAAAACATTTTTAAAGTGTGTCTAAACCCAGAAATATAAATGTAATATATTGTAGCTTTCCAGTCCTTAGATGTGGTAGCTACATTAGGTTTCTTTTTAAGGCCTAATTACTGGTGAACAGCAAGATATAATTTATTTTTTTTGTATTTTGCAAAATGTATTATTTAAGATTTCTATATTTTACTTGTTAGCATAGCAAACCTTTACTTTTTGAGTATAAATTCACTTTATGGGCAGTTTAGTAAATGTTGCAGAACTACAGCGCTGATAATTAGACCTGTTCTACCAAAACAATTATATAGGCAACCATAATGTTGTATGTACCTATATCTATCTATATCTATACATAGATAGATATAGATATATCTATCTATATCTATATGAATAAAGCTGTTTATCTTTAAAAGCCATGATCTAACAGGACCTGAGAAGAGAAACTAATCCAGAGGATGAATGACCCTTAGCAAAGTCTTTGCACCATGTGTCTCAATGACCACACAGAGTTAAACCATAAAATGTCTCGCAGCCCAGGACTAGCTTGCAAATCTGGGATTATCTATCTTGAGGCTGATGAATATACAGATGCTTCTCTCATACAAAGGAAACACAAGAGTCTTCCTAGCAAAATAAAACTTGTATCGGGGTTGGGAAGTGGTAAGCCTGGACTAAAGAATGCACCACCAATTTAGGAGGAAAATCTGCACTGAACATTATAAAGAACTACAGTCTAATCTACCTTTCGCACACCTATGTATTCCACAAATCATACAAACATTTGTAATCTATATTTACACTTACCTCTGTGTTGTTCCATCCTGAAAACCCTGTTGCTAAATCTCCCTTCCCTCAATTTACATGCTGCCTTCCTTCCCCGGCTTATTCAAGGCAGCAAAACAAAAAAGGAAAATGCAGCCATGAAAACTATAGTAACACAAATCAGCCAATCAGATTTCAGATGCTGGGTCATGTAAGGGATCATTTAAGATATTTAATAATATTCATATTTTTAATGATCAGTCCTGACACTCATATTACTCATCTGACAGCAAGAACAACATTACAAAACAAAATTTTATGTGTCTGTGTTTGCACATTTATTAAAATAGAAATCCGCAATCTTACAAAAAATGGCTGTAGGCTGATATTAGCCCTCAGCATGGCATATGGAAGCTTGATGCCCACCATCAACAAAATGCCACTGGATATATTTTTATTTTTATGTAACGGTTCAGTTTCTTTAGATATTAATAGATACAGAACATCTTCAGATATTAGATGTCACTGGATTATAGGTGAATGTTACACATAAAAACATGATTTTTTTACCAAAATATGGTTGGTTGGTTGAACAGGACCAGCAGAAAGGGCTACGATTGGCTGCAGTCACAGTTCGGCCAACAGTTTTCCACCCGGCTCCTTTGATTTTGTAACCAACTTTTGTGGATAGTGCTGATAGGGCCACCCACGGCTCAGATTTTGGAGGATTCAGCTGAAATTCAAGATGTGTTTGGCAGTTTTAATACTAGTCTACCTTTGAGTAAAGCCTTTCAAGTTATCATTTACACAAAGTATAGAAAGACAGTTCATTGTTCTTGAATGACTGCATTTTGTTGTAGTTTAACTCTCTCTAAAGCATTTCTTTTTAAAAAAATACTGTGCACAGAGATGCAATCAGAAAGCATTTTATGCAGCTTAGGTTTAAATGAGGGTCAGAGGGCTGGGGGCAGTGTGCAGAAGAAAGATCATTTTTTTTTAAATGTCAGTGAGCCCATGGATTATTCCAGGACAATAACACGGGCTTATTTAATAAAGCAAAGTTGAGAACCAGAACGATGTGCGCTATTCCAGAGCAACCAACTAGGTTTCAGTTTAGTGTGATCAGATCAATTGAGAGATGAAATGTGACTGATTTTGTGAATTAAGCTGTCCATTCATGGAGGGTTTGTGTCCTCAACATAGTGTAACACCGGCAACAGTGACATTGGTCTTCTGGGGTCCAGAATGTTCCACCCCCTATATGTGGTCACAAAACATCCACATATTGTAACAATCGTGTTCCATGCATGGCCACCATTGTGGCATCCCATCACAATTCTCTGCACTATTTCTTGCATATCTGACAGATCAAAGTGCAACATGTAAAGACTTGTCCATAGAAACCAATCGGCAATCAGTTTTCCTTATTCTGTCTGCTCTAACCAGATGAAAAGTTAACTTTCATTGGTGGTTAAGGGTGGCTATACCTGGCTTGATCCTTGCAACCAATGGCACATGTTCAAGCATTTTGAGCAATAAATTACGGGCTTGTATGTTGGTGTTCCCTAGGGGGAGGTAACATGTACTTTGAATATTAGAAGTGCATGCCAACATACACAGTGATTTTCAGCACCCTAGGAGCAGGTGGCACCGATACCACTTCTTACAGAGAAAAAGGAATTGACATGCATACATTTCATTAGTCCTTCAGCCAATCAGGGAACACAATGCGATACGCAAAATGCTTAACCACCTGTCATTCTTGGTGAGACATCAGTGGAGTTTATCTACTAAAGACAAAAAAGCTGTTCAAGTGAATTTCCCCTTAGCCTAGTAAATGAGATAAAGTGTTGCTGACTTCCAGCATCCAATCATGTGCCAGCAAAAATATAGTCTTTTTCTTAATTTTCCTTGCTCGTTGGTTATTCTTTGAGTGAACTTCACCAATAAGCTAAAGGGAAAATTCACCTGCAAATGCAAATTCCGATGCACAGTGAATAGCCTGTTTACCTTTAGTAAATCAACCCCATTGCTTCTGCTCTTCACACCTCCTTTCTCGCATTAGTAAACCTGTCTTTATACACTAATAGCTCCCGAGAGCAACAAATATCTCATTGGGTTGGGTTTCAGGTCAGCTATTCTTGGCACTGCTTAATTCTAAAATGTTTTTGTCTATACAGTATTACCTTGGTTTACAAGTAACTTGGTTTGAGAGTGTTTTGCAAGACAAACAAACATTTCTGAAAAATGTTGCCTTGATATACAAGCAATGTCTTGCAAGAAGAGCAATTTTTTTTAGAAAAGCACCACCCGAATAAGGCTGTAGCAGTGCGAGCGATGAGTCTGTTTAACGACAATGCAATGTCACATTGAATAGATTCCTTGTTAAGGTTTCACGAAATGAAAGATTCCATTGAGTCAAGAGATAGCAGTGATTCCGTTAGTGATAGTGAAAGTCGTCCTACACAATAATCCTCCTCTCTCTCGTCCCCCTCACAACAGCCACGAAGGTACCGGTAATTTGTTTATTTTCTTTATATTTTGTACAGTATTATATTACAGTACAGTATTGTAATCATTTTTATATGAATATTTTTGGGTTCTGGAACGAATCATCTGAATTTCCATTATTTCCTATGGGGAAATTCACTTTGATATACAAGCGCTTTGGATTACAAGCATGCTTCCGGAACGAATTATGCTCGTAAACCAAGGTATCACTGTATTTTCTTTATTTAACCACCTCCCGTCCGCAAAGCGTTGAAAGACGGCCGGACGGGAGTCTCCTGGATGCGGGTTAGACGTCCTGCGTGCCCGAGCCTGATCACGCGCGCCCCCTGGCGCGCACGAGCGGGAAACCACCAGTATTTTAAATGGCCGGAGATTGCCGTTTACATGCAAGCAGTCAGATCGATTGTATGATGCAAGTCAGGGTGCGCCCCACCCTCCTTACCTCTTCTCGCTATTGTTGTCCCCGCCGCCACCGTCCCCGCGATCTCGGGCATCCATCCATCCCGGGCGATGTGGCTCTGTGCACTGAGAACAGAGGGAGATCAGTGCACAATATCCCTCCGCTCTCCTACCGGTCTCTGAATGCAGGAAGTGATGTATATTACATCACTTCCGCATTCCTCTGTCACTCTCCAGTACTGAAACCGGAGAGAAGCTGATGAAGCTGTGGTTCATCAGCTTCTCTGGGGGTCCCTAGGTGACATTAGGGGTCTTAGAGACCCCTGATGTCTGCATAAAGGGGACCTGTCACTGTGATTTGTTATTACATAGGGTACTTCTTAGCACCCTATGTGATAACAATAAAGTTAAGTGTAAAAAAGAAAAAGTAGTTAAAAAAAAACAAAAACATTTGCTCACAAAAGAAATTACATTTACACACACACAAAAAACACCACAAAATGTTTTTAAAGTCCCCCTCCCCCACATAGATGCGCAAAAATGCGTTAGGTGCACCTACACGCATAAACGACGATTGCTTCAATTATGCCGCACATGTTACATTTCGCCGCGAACGTCGCAGAGAGAGCAATAATTATCGGGCCATTAATCACTGATAACACTAAACTGATGAGCAGTAAAATCTTTTAAAGCGTCGCCTATGGCCAATTTTGGCTATGGACTTTTTTTGCGATTTCGCGGACGCGCACAATTTTAAGGCTTAACATGTTTGGTGTCTATTTAACCGACGTGACCCCAAGCAAAAAATTGGGTAAAAATAAATGTTTCATAAAATAATAAAGGGAAAAACTGTTTTGTTTTTTTAATATTCGGTACTTTTTTTCTTAGTAAAAAATAAAAACCCCAGTGGTGATTAAATACCACCAAAAGAAAGCTCTATCTGTTCCCAAAAAATGGTATCAAATTAATTTCAGTACAGCGTTGCATGACGGAATAAACGTCAAAGTACTGCAGCGCTGAACACTGAAAAATGGCCTGGACAGGAAGGGGGTGTAAACACCCCGGTCAGCAAGTGGTTAGTATGTTGAAGACCAAAACCTAACATTTAAATGTTTCTTGTTAGCCAGATAAACATAAAATATTGCATATGAATATTTGATATTTACCATCTGCAGCCAGCAGGTGGCAATTGCCAGGCAAAAGAAGCACTGAGCACCAAGCTGGCGTGTTACTATGCTGTGAACAGACCAGGGGTGGACAAATTAATATTGCGTTCAGAAGCCATTATGTGCAATCCAGGTACCAGCAGGGTTTGTTTAGGAACAACTTTGTTGACAAACAGAAAACCCCAAATTTAGGCGCCGGCTGTAGTTTTTAAGGATCACTGGGTATCTGGCTCCTGTGATTTGCTCTGGAATAGACCATGTTGCCAACAGAACTGAATAAAATACAGTATATCACATTATACACACAGACAAATGTATCAGAGAGGGACACACACCACTCCCTCACGGTTAACAGAAATAAGACCCATTTGGATTTTTATTCTGCAAGAGCAGCCAAGGAAGAGCTGGCACGGACAGAGTATTTTATACAATGATGACAGTTGTGCAGAAGTTTAAAGAGTTTTGGGTCTAAGACAGGCACTGTCTAAAGGTCACCTTGTGTGCCGATACATTGTTTCAGTAATAGGTAAATCACTAGTGTGGCTTGACAGAATTACAATTCTTTTAGCAGGTTTAACACTTACAAATTTCAAGTGTGTATTTAGCTTTAGCCTGGAGCCCCCTTTATTGGGTAATAATGATATAGTATTAATAGGATTAGGCAGTTGCCTCCAGTGTCCTGCCTTGCATTGCAGCAGAACAGCATCCATCAAATGTCACACAACTATGCACATGGAATAACCTAACAACTTGTAACACTATATTACCATGTTTGTATCGCACACCTTAATTAACCCCGCTTTACTAATGACTCCTGTCAAAGTTGCACAACCTGCTGATTTAATAACTTCAAACTGCTACTGTGTTAAATAAAAAAGTTTCACCAGTTCCTTAAGGAGGCAACCAAATTAAAGGAGCAGAAAAACAAAAACAGTTACTTTGAAAAAGCTACTAATGGCATTCACAATTAGGTATGCACAAATTCCCAGAGCCCTACAGCAAATGAAACTGGGTTCATAAAGGCCTCATTCACACTGACGTGCATATACGCGCGTACGTGAATATTGTACTATATGCAAATAAATGGCTCCGACACACATAGCCGCGTATGGAGCCGTATATTTGCATAGCGTAAATATGTGCAAAAACAGAATGGAACAGAGATGCGTCCGGGCAGCATATTTATATATACACGCGTACAGCACATTAAAAATTCCATTACGAGTGATGCGTTCTGGGATTGCATATAGTGCACGCATATACGCGCATAGACGCATATATATTCGCAATATACAATTTTGCTTGCGTTGTGTGTGAATGAGGCCTTAATGTAAGGCCCCTTTCTTATTCAGCCCAGGCACATGGGTGGGGGGGAGGCTGCTCACTTACATACACATTTACACATACACATTTCTCTATCTATTATATTGCAATATTGGTGAATACTCTTAGATGTTTCCATTACTGGCAGGTGCTTTTCAATGAAGATACTGTATGACCTGTCTCTTTGGCAACATAGGCGCACGTGCATTTAATGTATAGGAAAATCAGACTATAAACAGCTTGACACTTGCATGGATTAGCAATGACCTCAAATAACATCACTGCCCTAATCATCTTACTGGATGGTGTTAACCTACATTAAATGGTGTATCCAGTGGGGGAAGAGAATCAAGCCATCCCTTCCTACATTTAATTTGGGAGCCTCCCTTGCAATGTAAGAATCATGTTAACTGCAATCTTGGAAGCATTATGGCATTAATCACTCTATAAAACAGCCGTTACCAAGAACCACAAGAGTCCATGGTGGGGCCTGGGTGTCCGAAGGCTTCCTGTTTGTTCCGGGGGATATTTTAACAGTCCGGAAAAACTACAATTGTTAATTAACAGCCTTAATTATACTCCTAAAGAAGTGGAGTTCTGTTAAATGAGCAAGGTCTCCATTCCTCTATTTACCAGATACATGATTTTGTGGAATTAATGGAATTTGGTCTATTCTGGTAAATGTATCAACTACATTGCGTTAGGGAATTAATCACTCTATACAACAGCCTTTATAAAGAACCAAGAGAGTCCGTGGCGGGGTCTGGGTGTCCGAGGCCCTCCTGTCTATGTCCCTGTGCCCGCTCAGGAGATATTTTAATTGTAGGCAAAGCCTACAATCATCTATTAACACCTTCAATTATACTCATGAAGAAGCTGAGTAAACATGGAAACACGTTGAGCAAGGTCTCCATTCCACTGCCTGTTTAGCAGATAGTTCATTTTGTGATAATAATATAATTTTGTCTATTCTGTTAATGTATAAACTTAATTTGGGTAGTTTAATAGGTTATTGATGGGGATAATGCATAATTGGAGGTTATGTATTATACTGACCTTTGTATGGTAAGGATTTTAGTATACTTTTAATAAACTTGAAGCTTTTATAAACCATATAATGTCTCATTTGGCTATCTAAAAAGTACACCTGATTTCAAATCTCTAGGCTATTATATTCCAAGATGACAATGTCAGGATTCATCGGGTTCGTATTGTGAAAGAGTGACTCAGGGGGTATGAGACATCATTTTCTCACATGGATTGGTCACAACAGAGTCCAGACCTTTACCCCACTGAGAATCTTTGGGATATTCTGGAGAAGATTTTACAGTGGTCCAACTCTTCCATCATCACTATGAGATCTTGGTGCAAATGAATACTACTCTGAACGGAAATAAATGTTGTAAAAATTGCAAAAGCTTATCAAAATGATGCCACGGTGAATGCGTGCCGTAATCAAAGCTAAAGACTTTGGTATATGGTATGGCATGGTAAAGGCTATGGTATATATACGAGATATACTGTATATGGTACCTCACTTATAATCAGCTTCATGACAGTTCTCCTTAATGTATCAGTGTACAATGTATTAGAGTGTATTTACCTTTGTTTAAAAAAAATGCACACTCTGCTATTTGGCTAGCAGTATCTACACATAAGTCAGTATGTATCGGGCCTGCACCCATAGCCACAATCAACCATGCTCATCAGCAACCACAACAAAAAGAGGCTTATTTTTCATCTGTGATGGACTCTTCAAATGGAAAAAAAACATCAACTAAAAAATGTAAATAAAAATGTCCAGATTTACATTTCTTTGGTATAAAATGTTGTTGTTTTTTTTCCCCTTAAAGCGGACCTTTACCCATATATTTAAAATAACAACAAACACACCTTTAGAAATGTTCAGTAATGACAATCTACAAAACACATACTTCTAGATAATCGCCGGCTTTGTATTCTTTGCATACCTTGTTTCTTCTGGCAGGGGCCCTGATAGCTAAGGGCAGGCGACTAGATCTCTCTTTACTTCCTGGATTTCAGGCACATGTAACTAGGACATGTGACCATGCACATCATCTCAGGCGAGGAAAATGTCTTTCCCTGAGATCTCATGAGATTACAGGTGAGATTTTCCCAACAATGCTCTGCTGATGTAACCTTCCCTGGATGCAGTGGTTTGGAACATTACATCATTTGTGCCAGAACTGGATCAGGAAGTAGAAGAACTCTATTTGTAAGTAAATGAAAAACAAGTTTGTTCAACTAATGAATGTAAGATGCAGAGCTGCATGCTGCTGTGATTTTTAGTGGAATGGGGTAAAGGGCCGCTTTAAAGCTTGCTCTAAACCTTACATAACGTTTTTTCACACTCGTACAGGAAAAGCTTTCACATGGTAGCCAGTCAAACCTGGGCAAACCAGAATCAGAAGGCGATCCATGCACAGATCCCCCTCCTGATTGGAGCAGTATGGATCGGATGTCACCGGTGTGACATTCGTGTCCATCCAGTTTTTTCCTCCATTTTGCGATAGAGGAGAGAACTAAAACTGCTGGACCCCATCTTGGTCTATGGGGAGTTGGATGGAAATGGACATGTGTCAGAACTCT